TCTCAGAAGACTGATGGGAGGCAGAATGGCGACGCTGCCTGGACCTCTGCAGGTAATAATGTTTGTTGTAGAGCATTTTAATGTTACTCTAGTGATGATATTATCTTTCTGTTTTTGTAGACAGTATTTACTGTTAAGTAAAATGCAATTTTATGCAGTGGCAGAGTCGATTTTTATTAGCTGCTTTTATACTTAACAAAGTAACCATAATCCTGCTCCGTCCTCTCTGCACAGCTACATAAAAGCCTTTCAGAAGCAGCCACCCATACACATGGACATACATATTCATAACAAATGCAAGCTTGACGCCCATTTATAATGCCTCATGTGGGCAGCTTAAACTATGCATGATCACAAGTTGAATTTTATTGTATTCTCCATGTTATGTTCCTGCAGGAAAAGATAACACTCCTTCCATGCTGGGTCTGTGCGGCTCTTTGGCCTCTTTACCGAGCTCGAAGTCTCTGGCAAGCCTCAAGTCCAGTGAGTGTTTAGTCAACATCAGCACTGAACCCAGCCCTGCGCTCTCTCCCAGCTAGGAGCTTCAAGACCAACAACAGCCGAGATTGAACCCCAGCCTGTCTGCCTTGCTGCGTTGACCATGTCCAAACACCCTACCAAAACCCTGCTCTCATCTTATAGCCACCTCTATGGGATAACAACAGGATCTTATGACACCACATCTGGATTTTTGTATATGAGAGTGAAGTTGTCATGAAGCTAAAAGAGTCTCCCTCTTTTGGTTGTTTCCTTTCCCCTCACCTTATCTTTTCTTCATATCCCTCTTTGTATCTGTCAATCCCTTCATCTGAAATCATGCAATGCCTCCGAGAACACTTGTCAGACATTTTCCAAAGCATCCAGTCGCATCTAAATTTTCCCATCTTGCTCTTTATTTGAAAATCGGTATTCTTCTCATGGTATTCTCTGTGTATTTGTGCACCTTTGGCCATTTTTATTCCATTTTAAGTGTAACCAAGACAGCACTAGCAGCTCTTTGGATGCAGAGACAGATGTGATGATCATTTTAAGACATGCAGATTATCCATATAAAGTCAGAGGGTGGGTGGTTAAACAGGCTGCCCTTATGGTGTCATAGCATCGAGACGTATGCTCTGTGTGACTGAACGATATTAGGGTCTGTCACCCTTGAAAGTGCTTATCATTCCTGCCTGGCTAATCAAACAACACAAACATTTTCAGTAGGTTTAAATGTGTGCAGCTATTTATCGATTCTTTTAAGTCTTAAAGTACCACATATGTTCATTTATCATCTCCATCAGTATGTTCTTTTTACACGTATGCAGTACGTTTACATTTTGTGTTGCAATAAATTGCCTTTTTCCATGAAGTGTGTCTTTTAGTGTGTCTTAGAAGGAACAGTGGCAAAAGCAATGTAGATGTTAAGTAGGGAGTTGCATTGCTGTGGCTCCATCTGCTGGTTAAATATATTATATGAATATCATATAACTTCTAAGCCTTTGGGTTCTGCAACAAATTAGAGTACTTGCATTTTCCCACAAAATGAAAAAAACAGACTTTACTTCCTCTAAACGGATCAAAACATCTTTTTAAAAATTCCAGCTTTGACATAATAACCTGCAAGAATTATTCTGCTGATGAGTGTTTGATAGAAAGGCTGAAACTTTACCAACTTTATAGTCAGTATTTCATGGCTGATGTAAGAAACAGTAGTAAAAGAATTCCTGGAGTTGATAACTCATGATAGACAGATCTGACTAGTCTATGCTGATCGTGGGCGTCCTGACATGCTTTGTCCTCACCAAAGCTTTTTTAGTTTTTTCAGAGGGCACCACAATCCTCCAGCAGTCACTCTGTGAAAAATTCTATCTACGTCACTGAAATATGGAGTTGTCAAACAGCTACACACCCAGTGATTAATTTGTCTATGTTATTTTCCCTGACGCAATAATTCAACATTACAAGCATAATCCTCATCAGTTCACAGGAACCTCTCAGCCCTTCAGCAAGCTTCCTGTGCTTTTGTTATGCTGCCAGGACATATTGCTGGGAACAAACAACGCCTGCAGGGACTTTTTAAGTAGCTCATTAACTTAATGTTAAGGTCTTTAAAAATATATTATTATAATTTGCATCTATGTAGCATAAATAAAAACGTGTTCATATCATTTGTTTAGTCTGTAGATGCTCCCATTTGGCACATCAAAGTCATACTGAATAGTGCAGATGTTCCTCTATGATTAACTGCATTCCACAAGAAATTATACATTTTAATTATAACTCTGGCAGGAATTATGGATTATTTCAACTATATTTTGTGGTTATGATAGAATAAAAATGAAAAATCCAAGCAAATAGTTCAAAATCATGTAAACAGTGCACAAACCCGAATCCTGGTTCTTGTGTTGAAGACGTTTTTTATAGAAGGAAAAAAAGAATGGTGAAAATATCTGTTAGGAATATTGTATCAAATAAAATATTACTTTAATTTGTCTATTTCTGCTTAAGCCTGTGGAGGATTACCAACTTGCAAAACCTACAAGCACGTTGCTCTAAGGCTACTTCAGTGCCATTGCTTTATTCTGATATAATAGAGAAAATTGCCCTCGATCCCTTGAACCCCTGCAGTGACCTTTAGCGGTCCCTGAACTTTCTTTGAAAGACCACAAAGGCACACACACACAGCCACACGTACACCCTGTGAATAGATTTAGGTTTGTACGTGGATTTTAAAGGGAGGAGGGGATGGCGCATGCCCCGCATAGTGAAGGAAAAAAAATCTCAACAAAGTGGGTGGGAGCTTCAATTTTTTTTAATGCTTGGGGGGGCGGTGGCTTTCCTTTTAGGAGACAGATGGATGTGATGGCCAATAAGTGCTCAGTAATATTCTGCAGCAACCAACCACATCATCCTCCCTTGGAATTACATGCTGCACGAGATAGTTGCACAGGTTGAGTAGTTGTGTTGTCACTTTGCAGACAAGGGAAACAAGCAGCAATGTGACACAGGACCACTCAGACTCTGCTGGTGCCCTTTTCACTCTGCAGCATGAAGAATAATATGGAGTTTGGTATAATGCGTTAAACTGCAAAGCTCACTTAACACGCGTGTTTTTTCTTCTTCCCGAAACTAAGCAGTGAGGCAGCAAACATCATGGTCAACATCACAAAAGAAAGCTCGAGTAGTTTCTCCATCCAGAGGCCCGATCAGAGCTTTGGATCATCAGTGTGGATGAAGTGAGCGCGCTCAGTGAGAAAGCCCGTGAGAGCTGCAGTGAACGACGAGGAAAAAGAAAAGCAGGGACGACTGTTTTCATAAGCTGCGCTCGGCTGTGGGAGCCAAGTGGGGGGATGTCGAGCCGAAGTGGAGGAGCGCCTCGGGGGTGCAGCAACCCCAGCCTGCAGCCCCTTAGAGCCACAGTCCCATACCAGCTCCAGAGGGGCTCAGCTCTCCTCAGCAGAGAGGTCAAGACGGGTAAATACACACTCAGGAGGAGGGGGCTTGAATCTGCATTCACTTCCATGTGGTCCAGAGCTGAAAAGTTTGATTGTGCATCACTTAATCATCATTATTCCTTAGAAATGTGACCCAGTGGGGCAAAGGGTTAATGTTTTGTGGTTTTGATATATAGTGGATTTTATTCAAGCAAAAATATTGACTGTGTATCATCACAAAGGGGAACTGAGCCAGAGTGATTAATCATTAAACATGAATTGCTGGGTGATTAATGAAAACTGACCCTGCTGCTGTTTTTATCGTGGATGAATTAAGTTGTTTTTGTCATTTAAAAACTGTATATTTTTATATTTTGAAAAGCTGGTAAGACAAAACTGTGAATTTGTGATGGGGGAATAGTTGCTATTTTCTGACATATTTAATAGGAAATGCATTATTTTTCAATTCCCCAAAGTACTCTGCAGTTTAATCAGTGCACCTTTGTAAAGATTCTTCCAGAAGTCTCTAGAACTGTTAATTGGAGCTCTAGAGGGAAAGCATGTAACACCAGGACCAGCTATTCATACACTGAATGATTAATGAACCACAGCACACTGAAGAAAAGCAGGAAGAATATTTAAGAAGCAAATACAAGAGACGACCATGCTTCTCACCCAAAGCCAGGGCATGAACTGTTTCAGTGTGCCTAACTATGCACCAGCCGTTTTACTTGGATTGTGCTCAAAAGAGTACAATTCCAATGTGCTAAGTCAACAATGAAGGCTGCTAGCCCTGAAACATAACACTGTTCTCATAATGTTATTTAGACACTCAGCTGCCCCTTAGCACTCTGACCTGTGGGATTCCTGCTGCATGCTTCATGCTAACACAGCAGCAGCTTTAAAGACCTCTTTGTTTTACTTTGAGTACTTGTTCTTTCACTGTATCCACAAAACTCACATCTGCATGTTATTTATGTGTCCTGTCTGCCCTGCAGCATGGGCTGATGACAACATACTGTGGGTGTGCTTTTGGATTAGTTGTAAATGTACTAGCTGGCTGTGGTGAGTGTTGCCAGTGTTGTGTAGCTGGATGGCTTTGCTCCAGGTCAAAGGCATGGTCCACACCTGCCAGAGATACAAAACGCTGCCAACACGCACACATACACACTTGTTACACTCACACAGCCCTGTGGTCTGCACACTTATGGAAAGGAAGGAGGCTGTGAGCAACTGCCACCGGGGCTAAAGAGTTATTTACACTTACATGTCCAATACAGTGTCTTACTGAAGGCTAAACATGATTACACAGGCAGGAGTTCAATCCCTCTTCAGCACAGAAACAGTTTCGACATGTACTGAGTGGAAGCTTACACAGTCTCAACATGCCCCTGGCTTCTTTCTATTTTCTCTGTTTCCACAGCAGACAGAACCACGGCTCGTCCACCAAAACCCACCATCCGCCGAACTCTTTCTTTGGACGCGATTGTCGGACCCTATCTCCAGGGGCAGTGGCCCAAAGAGGCAGACGGGGCGGTAGTTAGCTGTGTCAATGATAAAGCCACACAGGTAATGATTAATATATCCCGAAACCCCCAAATCTGCTATGATACTGTGATGGAGTTGCTATAATCGAATGAACTTGGTCTCAATTAATCTCAGTTTGTTCTGTACCAGTGCTTCTGTTAGTGCAGGAACACAGTGTGAACCTGTTGAATCAATTGCATAAAAGGCAAACTTGTGTGTGCTGTGCTTCTCCTGGATGTTAACGATTTCTATAGAGGACAAGATATCTGATGTTAGCTCTGCAGGTGTCTGGTGGTTCCAGTTCGGCGCGGCGGGTGGAAGGCAGCCAACTGGAAATACTCGTTTTTGTTCTTCTTTTAAAAAAAAAATCTGCTTCTCTTCCCTCGCTGTTCCCCCCCCTCGACTGTATCTGCTCCTAACTAGTGCACAAAGCCTGGAGTAACATCGCCAAGCTCCGCAAGCTTCGTCTTCTCTCCTGACACAGTTTAAACGCGAACGAACCCCCTTTGCCTCCATTGTGAGACACAGGCCCCTCCTGACCTCATTATACAGGCACCCCATCCCCCAGCACTCCCCAAAAACCACACTAACACGTACTCAGCAGCACCCCACCCAGCACCTCCTTCTGCCATAGTTCCTCTGCATTATGTCAGATGATATGACTAGTTGTTTGGTGTTACTTCATTCTTTACTTTGCACACTACTGCACCTTTTTATTCCAGTCTGTGTTAGAATAATCACTTAGTGAATCAAATGAAAGTAACTGCAACCAATTAATCAATTAAATGTTTGAGGCAATTACATTTGATTTTAGTCTGAATTAGTGCCTGCAGCTCTTTGAGTTTTGTTGGCTTGTTTTTGAGCTAAATGCTAACATTATATTAACATGCTGACAGTCAACAATGTTTTAGCATTTTGCTAATTAGCACAAAGCTGATGGAATCTCATCCTCGTCATCCTCATCTTCGTTCGACTGCTCCCTTTAGGTGTTGCCACAGCAGCCAGCATCTCACCCTATTCTTTGCTTCCTCTTCTGTCACACCATGTCCTCCTTCACTACATCCATGAATCGTCTGTAGTCTTCCTAAATCTTCGACATCCTTTGTCCAATATGTCCGCTGGCCCTTCTCTGCACACGTCCAAACCATCTCAATCTTGCCTCTCTAACTAACTTTTAATCACCTTGGTGGTTAAAAATGATCTTGACACACTCAATAGTTGTTGAGATTGCAGATCTCATTAGAGTTTTCTTTAATTTGACCTATTAAAGTAGCAGCAGTTAAATATAGTAACCTTTAAAAATGAAAACTCTGATTGGGACTTCTTAAATCTGAGGTTCTGCATAAATGAAGAATTTTTTTTTTGTTTTTTATAGAATTAGCCCAAAATGTAAAGGAAATAATATTTTTTTCCACCTTGTTCACTATATTAAAAAAATAAATACCAAGCACATTTTAATCAGTGCCTCAAGCTGGAAATATTAGCCATGGAGACCAAGTGCTTTGGTACCTTGGGGTCTTTTTATAGGTTCGTGTTCCATGATCCCTTGTCCATGTTTTGGGGAGGGTGGGGTTTTTGATGTTGGATGGTGGGGGAGGTTGGTAGCCGTAACTCTACACCAATGCCACTGTATGACTGACTCATGCTGCTTTCGGACTTATTTAGCCTGGCGACAGAGTACGTATGAGTCGACTGAAGAGGAGATGATGTCGGTGTTTTTCTACAGGCAGTAATGGCACCAGTAAGACTTCCCTGAGCTGTGAGGCCGAGCACCTTGTGTTTCGGGGGACAGAAATTCACAATGCAGTCACGGTGCATGGTTGCCTGTGAGTGGCTTATGAATAGACTGGACACCAGGGAGTGGATCAGATTCTTTGAAAGTGTGTGAAGCAGTTGACCCTAAACGTGGAGGCACCAGAACCTAGAGTATCGGATCCTGTTGCTTAAGTTGACCCGTGTGATGATGAATGTCCAGTCTACTGCATACAACCAACAGTCAGCAGCAAACAACCCAGCTCCCACTGGTAGAAGATCAAGAGTCAATGTGAAGAAATCGGTATGGATATAGGAGTGAAAAGGATGTTACAGAGTTGTGACTGACAAAGGAAGAAGTGCACTAAAAAGTCTGCTTGCTGGCTGCTTTTTGTTTTTCCTCAACAGTGTGTGACTTTGTGAATAACAACAAATAACTTATTTGTGTGTGTAAGTGCACTGAGGTGTTGAATGCACTGTATTTATAGTTTTTACACTGATGTGGTTTGGATGTTTTTTTATGAGAGTGTAAGCCGGGCTGTTTTGCAGCTCATAGTGGTTTCTTGTCGCCTTCCGCTGTACAGCTGTTGTGGGGCAGGTGTGCAAGACAGCTGTGGGGCTCAACTTAAGTGTTGTGCATACGAGTGTCAAATGGAGTTTGCTGGTTTTGGCAAAAAAAAAATAGAGTGGGTCTCCAAAAAGGTCGCCCTTTCTGACAGCCAGAATTACTGCCAATTAGGCCATTTTCTACCAGAGCCCCTCAACAGCATGTCAGGCAAAACACTGGATGCCTTATTTATATATGCTCTCTCTCTTCCTTTTTTTTTTTTTTTTTTTTTTTTTTTTTTTAAGACTCCAAGTTCCTGGGCAGAGGAAACCCGGGGAAGACGAAGTGCTGGTGGGCACAAGCGCTCAGCTTCTTGGGGCAGTGCAGAGCACCTAAGGGAGGCAAGTATTGCATACACTAAAGCAGTTAATGAATCATTTCTTCTATTTCTCTCACATACCCACACTCTTCTTCTCTTTGGCCTCCCATTGATAGCCTGAAACAAAAGGGTTCCTTCAGGGCAAACTTTGAACCTTAACCTTGAATGAATCACAATGACCCCTGAATCATTTTTCTCTCCACTCTGCCCTCAGGTGGCCAAGCTGAGACACCAGTTGCAGAAGCGTTCCCGCCATGCCCCTCCCTCAGCAGGATGCGAGCTCCCCCCCCACCCCCTGCCTGCAGGTCATGCAGCAGGAGTCACTCAGGTAGCCTTTTGTCCAATTAGGATATTAAAGGACACATACAACAAAGTTTTCATGATTGCTCCCAATGCCAGACTGTGTTCCACAGGCAGACGAGGAGGAGCTTGGTAACAGGGATATAAAAAACACTTGTTCTTTTTTTAGTACTGGCTGTCATCAAGTCTGCCGTGCTGCTGCCATGCTGTCTCTGAAAGACAGTTTGAAACGAGCATATCACTCTGTACTGTTCACATGCACTATTAACAATTGCAATAGTGAAAAACCAGATAATCAGGCTTAGGCTACCTCAAAATTTGTCCGTATTATACTCGTTTCTCCTCAGACGATGCCGCTGATGCCGCTGAACAGACTTGCTCCACGGCTGCGACGGAGCGTCGAGGGCCTCAACTTAGAGCTGGAGGAAGTGTTTGTGTGTGAAAAACAAGACGATCAGCATGAGGTTAGGTCACTGAAACTTGCTTATAGGTAAAACTAGAGAGGTTTTAATATCAAAAGGCTATAAGAACTACCAGTATCAACCAATTTATAGTGCAGTTGCTTTTCTCATCAAAATATCTGTGTGCCATATTTCATCACTGGTCACTTCATTAGTTACACCTTGCTAATACCAGGGTGGACCGCCTTTTGCTTTCAGAACCGTTTTAATTATTCATAGCAAAGATTCAACAAGGTGCTGGAAACATTCCTCAGAGATTTTGGTCCATACTGACATGAAAAAAAGAAAAGGATCGTTATTCACATTCACTTCAGTGTTATTATGCTAAATTTTCATTTATTTGCTTCTAAATTTCACAGATTTTGGATATCCCAGATGGCCACAGAGCTCCCGCCCCTGCCCAGAGATGCAGCAGTGGCTCTCAGAGTGACCCCTCACCGGGGCCACTGGATCCTTCCCTTCTTTCTCCTTCTCAATCCCCTTGTATTCTTGATACGTCACTTCTGACACCTTCAGGTTCACCTTGTCCTTTGAATCCATCACTTTTATCCCCATCCCAATCTCCCTGCACCATGGGAGAGCCAGGTTAGACAGGCTTACATTTCCTGTTTTGCAGTGCTTTATTAAACCATAAATGGATATATTTTTGAAAAATAATAATACTACAGACAGAGGTTTGCTTTAATTCTGGTATTGTTAGTAAAAATCTCTCTCTCTTTATGCAGAGCCTGTGGACTATGAGATCTTGTGTCCCTCTCCATCAGCATCGCTTCCTTCATTTGCACTGGATCCTCCTCTGCTGCAGGCCTGCTCCTCTTCGCCTCGTCCCAACAAAACCTACTCTTTTCAGCGCGAACCGCCAGAAGGCTGTGAGCGAGTTCGAGTGTGTGAAGAAGCAGTGTAAGTACACCAAAGCATCATGCATAGATCATATCATGCAATTATTTCCTACTTTCTATACCACAAATTTACTTTTGTACCCAACTAAACCCCTCCCACAAGTACCATCAGAGCAAAACAGGATGTCATTACCACTCCAAATCAAGTTCAGATCACAAGACAAAAGGCACACGTTGTAATCTTGGAGCCAGTAATGACAAATAATGTTGCAAAAGTTTTATACAAATTTATTATTTATGTGTATTTTTGTAACAGCTTGCTATGCATTTACATGTGGTCCCTTATGAATTTAACATTTCCAGGTTGAGCACCAAGTGTCCACCACTTTGATGAAATTTATGCCATTTTTCCAGTCTCTTCCAGTTTGAGAGGTCTCCAAGGAGGATTTGTTTTTAAATGTAACTTATTTACATTAAGCCACGTGACACGTGAAACAAGTACAAACTGAGGCCGTAACATTGCATTTGCAGGGGAATCATTATATAAACATAATGTATATACAAATACAAAGAACTTGGATTTATAGGAAATTTTTCCTTTAAAAAAAAACATATAGATGATAATAATTCCTATATGTGTGGTGATATTTATACAAAGTTTTGTTGAGATTGGCCCACCCGTTAAGGAGGACATAGTTATCTAGAGACATAAATGCATATATAATCTATGATTATTTAAGTAAGATGATGTTATTTGCACACTGTACTTGCTATCAAATTATGACACCATCTGAGTTTAGATTGGTTCCCTATATGCCACCTTTTCATCTGTTAATTCTGTTTGTCACCAAGTATGAAATATACAGGAAAAATGAAGCCTTGATTGTGTTACTGAATTAGGATGACTTATTATTTGTGGCACATTAATTGCAATAATATTGGCATCCTTATTTGATATTCTGTAGAAAAATCTCCAGTCACTGTATCAGCAGAAAAAGATGAAAAAGCATTTTATCCTACACATTTGTGGGATTCCATAGTGTGTTGATTAGCAAAATTGCCTAATGCGCAAAAGGTCACAACTCGGAGGAAACGCAAACCCAGCCTCAGGAGGTCACGAGTCAGTATCTGCCTTGGAGCAGTCCCAAGTCTGAATAAATGAGAAGGTTACATCAGGAAGGACACCTGGCCTAAAAATGTGTGTTAAATCAACTATGCGGCTCAATGCACTATGACAACCTTAGAAAATAAGCTAATTTATACACTTTTGAAGAAAACAGCTTAAATTAGTCTTGTCAGAATATCAGTGCACACTTGAAACCTTCTGATCTTGTGTGACAGTTATTTTTCACTGAATGATTTAATGGAATTGAAGGGTTGTAGAAGTTGTTATTATGGTGCTATAAATATGTAACTACATATAAAGCCGTGGGTGCTGTGTTGCAGTATGGGGGTTCATGCTTCTATCTCTCCATCTACAGCTCTGCCTATCAGGATGAGACTCTCCTCCAGTCATCCTGCCCTGACCCCAATAAAGTCAATTTCACCCCCCACGGAGGCTCAGCTTTCTGCCCGGTCAGTCTTTTGAAGCCCCTCTTGCCCTCCATGGACCTCCTCTTTCGTGGCCTGTCGGTATCTCCCGTCACTGGCTGCTCAGGTCAGGCCTCTCCTACCAGGCACCTGGGCATGCAGTAGGTGGATATCTGAGCAGAGTCTCTCAGGACTGAACCACATTGCACTGCCAGGACAAGCAGAAACTGGATGTGATATATATATATTTTTAATGCATCGTGACAATGGACAGTGTTGCATCACTGCTGTAACACGCCATCATCACTGTGATCAAAATAACCTTTGTGACTGTGAAGATTTGTTGCTGTCATACTTTAGAATAACTGTGGCCTAAATTCTGCCCGCTTTATCTTTTGTTTTGTTTTTTTTGTTTTTTTTCCACCTGCAGGAAGCTTTGATTCAGCTGATATTTACCTCATCAGCACTTAAACTGTCCTAGTATTCAACCGTATGAGGCATGGATTAGACTGCGGGATTTAAGTTGTGGAAATGCTTGAAAAGCTTTATAAATACTTGCGTTTATTAAGTCATTCTTTTGCATTAAAATTGTTCTAGTTAGAGACCGCAGTCTAGAAGGGATGCTTTTATTTTTCATCTTGAAACGTGAGAATTTACTGTCAAAAACCCTAGCACTTAGAACACACACTGGTACAGGTTTTGCCTTCTTACTATCCAAACAATTGATGGGTATTGTAGTCGAGTATTGTTGATTTTAGATAAACATCCAGCTTAATTTGTGAGGGTTAACTGATGAAAAACAAAATATTTGTCGAATTTTTATATATATATATATATATCTGTTTGAAATATTTTTGGCTTAAAGCTTTCAATGGCCTACTTTTCTACAGACGTGTTTCAAGGGAGATACATATTTTTTTGTCTTTATAAGAAGCAGATGATACTGCTTCTGTTTTCACTGTTCTGACTTGTGCTGTTTTATAAGCAGACATTTTATAGCTTTATTTGCCTACAGGGGGCTTTGTTATAACCAAACTATTTTTAATAATTAGAGCAGGTCGCAGTTTTTGTCAGTTTGAGCCTTTTTTGAACCCTGGAGTTTAGACTACAGTGTTAGTAAAAAGCTTGACTTCCTTTTGATTGAATTATTATTCAATTGTGT